GAGAAGGGGCACCTATATTACAGTGCGTCAGAGGTTCTTCTGACCCGGGGTGGGGTTTTCCCTCAGGAGAAGGTGAACTCCCCTGCTCTACCTTCCCCTGGTAGTGTCTTATTTATGACTCATTGTTTCCCTCTTCCATCTTACAGACGAGGAACTTAAGGTGCCAGGAGGCTTGGTAAGTCCCAAGGAAAAAGTGGAATTTGAAACCTCTGTTCAACTGCTTATTAAGATAGCGTCTCTGTTAATCTCCATTTTTATATTCCGCCTGGATTTGAGATCAGAAGATACTGCAGATGCCCTGGAGACTTTCAGCACAGAGGCAGGAAGCCCACTGAGATTTCTGAGTGCCAGCTCACGGGCGCAGTCTGGCTTGGCCCTCCCCTCACCTGGTGGTCCCTGGTACAAAGAATTTAGATGTGATGGCCTAGGTCCGTGGTCGGCAAACTGCGGCTCGCGAGCCACATGTGGCTCTTTGGCCCCTTGAGTGTGGCTCTTCCTAAGCCTTAGGAGTACCCTAATTAAGTTAATAACAATGTACCTACCTATATCGTTTAAGTTTAAAAAATTTGGCTCGCAAAAGAAATTTCAATCGTTGTACTGTTGGTATTTGGCTCTGTTGACTAGTGAGTTTGTCGACCACTGGCCTAGGTGGACCTGCTTCCTGCTCTCAAGGAGCTCGGGATGCAGGACAATGAACATCACCAGGTAGGCTCTTAGCGGTGGGCTCCCAATTAGTGGGATGTATACAAAGCATCTTTTTTTATCCCTGGAAGAAACAGAAGGGAGGTTAGAGGAGTCAGTGAGCTTCTCATAAGTCCATCCACCCAAGATGTTTGGAGGAAGAGCCATCTCTCTGGGGACAGACCTACACCAGCTCTGGCACAGGTACTGTTCACAGTCTGAGAAAGAAAAGCCAGGACTTAACAGCTAAGAAACGTAACTGAATCTTGTTAGAAATCAACACAGTGAGCGGAATTGAGCTGGTAGATGAAGCCCCAGCCAACTGGGCCTGGGATGTGGGAATTTTTGTCCATCGGCTCCCAGTCTAGTTTTGTTCAGTGATAATGCAACAACAGTTCTGCATGCTGATTGGCTCGGGGAGGTTCTCTTCTCCGACAATGAGGAGATAATCAATCATGTTACTGGCTTTTGTCTTGGCGAAGGTATTTAGGTTTCAGCCAGCTGGTTAGCTGCCTCAAGGCCACCTGCTTGACTGAAAAATAAAGAATCAGTTTCTTTCGCTTTGCAAGAAGGGGGAAGTATTGACTTGTGTGATAATTTTAGGTGGATGATTAAATCTGGCCTCTGAGGCTCCAGCTGAAAATTCAATTCAGATGACTGGTTTTTCTTTTCATACACCGTTGAGCAATCCCATGTGCTGCCATGGCTAATGTCCCTGATGCTGATTGTCCCTTCACTTTAACAAAGCACAGAATCCCCAGCCCACTCTCTATTTCCTGTGCCTCCCAGCTATAGGGACATAATGAGGAAACACACTCTTTCTGCTTACGTTAAGAATACTACTCTATGCAGCTATGCTCAGAGGCTCTCCCAAGTAACCGAATTGCTCTGTAGGATGATTCCTCTGACGGTAGTTGATGAAATATGCCAGTTTCCCCTGGTGCATTTTGCATGTACAGTGCAGTCAGTCATGCTTCTGCTGCCACTTGGCTGATACATCACAATCTTAGATGCCAAAGTAGTGAACAGGTTCAATGTGTATGATCTAGCCCAAAGTAGGAGAGTCATTTTTGACTGCCTCACTCTCCACATCCAACCCATCAGCAAATTCTGCCATTCTGTCTCCAAAACATTTCTCCAAACTTCCCACTTCTCTCCATGTTTACTAATCACCCCCCACTCAGGAAAAACATCCATCCTCTCCCACCTGGGCCACTGCAGTCACCTCCCAAGTGGCCTCTCTGCTTCCATTTTTGCCCCCAGAAAAGAATTCCCTGCACACCAGTAAGAGTACTCGTTTAAAAAAACAATGAGGTCACAAAGCTCCTTTTATTAGAAACCTCTAATACTTTTATTAGAAACCTCTAATAGCTGCCCATGATCATCAGGTCCAAATGAAGCTCTCCGACCGCGTCTTCAGTACCTGGTGAGGTCTGGCCTCTGCCTGCCTTTCTCTTCCTCTCCCTCACCCTGTTCTTGCCATGGCTTGACAGCTTCCAGTTCCCTTCCATCTTAGGGCCTTTGAAGTAAGTATTACCTGAAACGGGAATGTTCTTCTCCCAGCCAAGCAAGGTCTTCACAAGGTGTCATCATTTTTATTCTGTTTTCAACTTCAATGTCAACTTCTCAGAGAATCTTTCTTGACTATTCAAATTCAAGTAGTCTAGACCTTCTGGATTATGTTATCCTGTTTTGTTTTTGAAATAGCACTAACCACTACCATGCATTTTCTCTAATTTGTTTATTGTCTGTCTCCTTTATTAGAAGGTAAGATTGATTGCAAGATGGACTGTTGTCTGTTGTGTTCAGAGTATGCCCAGTGCCTAGAATAGGGTCTTGTAAGTAGCAGATGCCGAGTAAATGGTTATCTAGTAAATAAATAAGCAAAGCCTGGCAAGGACATCTTCCTAAGTGATACAGGAGCAGGATGCTTTAGGTGTGGCCCTATCAAAAGTTAGGTGGTGAGAGCCTGGCTGGGTAGCGTGGTTGGTTAGAGCATCATCCAGATACACCAAGGTTTCAGCTTTGACCCCCGGCCAGGGCACATATAAAAATCAACCAATGAATGCAAAAAGAAATGGAACAACAAATTGATGTTCCTCTCTTTTCCTTTCTCTCTAAAAATCAATTTTTTAAAGGAGGATGAGGCTGAATGACTTATCACAGGTTTATTTTTGATTCAGATTCTGAGCTTCTGCTGGTAAGTTATCAGATATTTTCTGGGGCCTAATGTGTGTGGTGCTGTTAGGTGGACTCAGACAATGACAACCTCTCATCTTGAGGAGGCAGGAGACTGACCTCATTCTTAGCTGATCTGATCAACTGAAAAGCAAAATGTGCCATTAATTTTAGGATCCATTATATGTGACATTTTGTCTTGTTAAAGGTTAGGGTCCAATAGGAGAACTGGAGAGCTCACTAAGCATTGTATCTTTATTCACATTTGGAATTAGTTGGTCCTGGGGACAGTCCGGGCACTCACTCTGATTTGGGGTCTAGGTCTTATTTTCCCAGGAAGGGCTGGCGCCTGTGCCATGTCTCCGTGTCTGAAACCTCTTATTCATGCATGCGCAAAGGGCAGGCATGACTCACACAGGATGAAACCCTGAGCCTCACAGACAGGAGAAGAGTGTAGAGTCGTGATACTGAAACCATTTCTCAGCCTTAGTTGTCAGTGCTGGGACCTACTTCAGCACATTTCTGAAATGAACTCTGCTAAGGCGAGGTCGGTGACACCATAAAAAAGAATTTTGTAATTAAAAAGGCTTAAAGGGATCACTGGCAAGATGGCCTTTTTTTTTCTTTTTCCCCAAGTCACTTAAAGAAGTAAACTTGATAGAAGTACTTCCTTATATCAGTTTTGCCCATCAGTCAAAGTGACGGGAGCCAGACTGAGCAGAGACGCCCCTTAAGGAGCTCTAAGGGGTGGGTTTAGAGCTTGCCTTCGCCTGGGAAGCCATTTATCACCTGATGAAGACATCTATTTGGTGACTTCAGTGGTCCTTAAAGTTTAGTCAGTAGGATTAGAAATAAGATACAGATAAGACAGCTCATTGGGAAAGTCCTACCTTTTATGAACAGCGACGAGCCTCACTATTTTAATTTACCAGATGGATACTAGCGATTTAAAATATTATGATAAAAGGGACATATATAATACTTTCAACAACAAAAATGAAAATAAATATTATGATAAAATAAAACAATCACCTCCACCAGATCACATAACATTTAATGTACATTTTACTGCAGTTGACCCATCTGGGCCTCAGAAGTTACATCTGACTGGCTGATTAATAAATTAGCCCAAATACCCCAAATCAGCCCTGGCCAGTGTTTCTCAGTGGTTAGAGCATTGGCCCTTGCACTGAAGGGTGGCAGTCTTGATTCCCGGTCAAGGGCATGTACTTGGGTTGCAGGTTCGATCCCCAGCCCCAGTCAGAGCACAGCAGAGGCAACCAATCGATGTGTCTCTATCACATCACACATTGATATTTCTTTCTCATGCTCCCTCTCTTTCTCCCTTCCACTCTCTCTAAAAAACAATCAATGGAAAAAGTATCCTTGGGTGAGGATTAACAACTACAACAGAAATACCCCAAATCAGAGACAACAAAATGAATGAAGAAGGAGTAAGAGTCAGAGCATCTTCCCTCTGGGTGTTCTGAGGGGAAGCACTGATATTCATGGGCCATCTGTAACGTTAAGTGGCTGGAGGAGTTGGCTTGAATTCAGCCTCTCTCTGGAGTGGAAGGCAGTTAGGGTCCCTAATGAGAAGTATCCCATGGGAGGAGTTTTAAATCAGAAACTTGGCTGTTTTTTTTCTGATAGTTGTTTGGAATGACCAGGACCACACATATACTCACAGAGCAAAAATGGCCACATAACTCAGGGGCAGAGGAGAAGGTTTAGAGAGCATATGAGCTAGCGGATCTCAGAGGGCTTCCCACCTGAACTCCTCCCTCCTTCTGCCAACAAAGAAAATGAAATCTGAAGGGATTCAATGACATACTAAGTGACACAGAAAGTTCAGGACTAAGTGAGGGCTAGGACCCCAGTGTGGTGACTCATAGTCTTTCTAGACAGAATGGAAAATTAGAAAACAATATTTTAAATTATTTTTTCCAGTTTCATTGAGAAATAATTGGCATATATGACTGTGTAAGTTTAAGGCATATAAGTATGATGGTTTAATTTACATATGTTGTGAAATAATTATCGCAGTAGGTTCAGCTAACGTTCATCTCGTCTAGATACAATATAAAGAAAAGAAAACAAGAAAAATAATTTTCTCCTGGTGATGAGAACTCTTAGGATTTACAAATGATGGTTCGATACCTTGAAGTAGCTGGCACTGCCTTAATTGTCTAAATGTTGTTGGGCCCAAGAGCCTCTTCCATCCTTGTCTAGGGGTGTGCTAACCGTCTCTCCTTTCGTACAACACAAAATTATTATTTCTGATGCTTATTATATTGTCTCTTAAGTGTTGTCTTTCTAAAGTGAGGTGACATATAATGAAAGAGCTGCAGTGTCTGAGTTTGAACACAAGATACCAGCCTGAGGATATTCCGCAGAAGAGGCACATGAACATATTTGATGATAGAGAAAATGAATTCAGAGAGAGGCTGAATTCAGTGGAGGCTAGGGTGAGGCTGCAGATGCAGTTGGTCTTTGAGATTGAGACCTTTCTTCTTTTAAGGCTGTGAGGGAAGACCAGAAGGCAGATAAAGAGATGAGGGAGGCAAGGACTCTCCTCTGGAAAGTCCATGTTTTCTTTTCGATATATATTTATATTGATGTCAGAGAGGAAGGGAGAGGGAGAGAGAGATAGAAACATCGATGATGAGAGAGAATCATTGTTTGGCTGCCTCCTGCACGCCCCATACTGGGGATCGTGCCCGCAACCTGGGCATGTGCCCTGACTGGGAATTGAACTGTGACCTCCTGGTTTATAGGTTGACGCTCAACCACTGAGCCACGCCGGCCAGGCTGGAGAGTCCATGTTAATGATAAATGGAAAACCTCTCTCTACAAGTGTTCTCTCTCTCTCTCTCTCTCTCTCTCTCTCTCTCTCTCTCTCTCACACACACACACACACACACACATAGTGAATGATAGACAGAAATTTAATAATTCTTGCTTGGGCTGATTCTTTTCAAGAAGTTAATCTGAAAATGATTGCTATGACTGACTATTGTGGATTTAGGTAGGGAGAGAAAATCGTTTCCATTTTCTTGTTTAAGTTCCAGAGTTTTTAGGACTATTTTAATGCAATTCTTTGCCTACACAATATAGATTGTGGGGGACTAGCTATATTTCATGGAGACATGAGATCACTATCCCCCCTCCCTTTCTTTCTCTTACAAACCGATTTCTAAATGTTGAGTACATCCCAAGACTAGGATCTATAAAGTGGTCTTACAATTTTACCAGAACTGCCTACTAACCATATATCTTTAAGTAGCACTATACAAATAATAAAAAAATCTGCCAACTCTATGTTCAGTCATGTTTGGGGGCTCAGTGGACAATGTGTACATTTTATAAATTTTCTTCCAATATTATTTTGGTTTAGCCTGTTAGTAAATGCCAGGGGAAGAATAATGGGTGCTTTACAATCACCATAAAAAATACCCAGAATCCTTTAGTTTCACATTGATTGGGATGACAAGCCTTCATTCCTGCTCCGAATGCTGTTCCCACCTGGAGTTCAGGACTGAGAGCCAAAGCTAAAATGATGCTCTTTTCAGGCTTGTAATCTCAGGAAACACCAGAGATCCCAGAAACAGTCAGTTCAGGTTTATCTGAGGTTTGAACAGCCAGAGAGCCCCATCAGCAGAATGAATTTCAAAAAGTGCCGTCCTGTGATGAACAACTTTTATAATTGTCACCCACAGCTTGGAATAGTTCTGGAGGCTGGGCTGGTTGTCAAAGAGCGATCGGCCTTTGAATTCAATTTATTTCATTTGATTTTCTAGTTTTCTAAAAACATATCGAGTCCGGATTATTGAACCTTAGCCAGAATATTTGATGGGCAGAGACACTGACGTTCTAGCCATGTATGGATGCGGACAAAGGGAAAGTCCCGCCCTATTCTGTATCCTGCAGTGGCGACAGGGATGGTGAAAGTCCCTTCTTTAAAGTGAAGCTACTTGTTGTGAAAGGGGAAGGGAAGTATCTTGCCTACCTGCCTAACCACCCGAGTTCAATCACACAAAAATAATACCTGCCCAAGGGCTACCAAGGGTTAAATCCCAGCCCCTGAAGTGGCTGCAGTAACTGCTCCCTGGTCCAATTACCCGTGGAGAGCCCTGGAAGCCCAGTCTGGGTGGGAGGCCCTGCCCTACTTGCCTGAAGGGTGAGGTGGGAACAGGGCTTATTTAAAATCCCAGACACAGCCCTCTCTTCTGCCAGTTGTTATTTCCCATCCTCACCTCTGGACACTTCAGCACATTCACTGGAAACATCATCACAGGAGAACGCGGCTTTGACAGCAACCTTGCTGAAATTATTTATTTTCCCTGTTCTGGCTTGCACTTGAATACTTCTCCATCAACAGCACGTCTGATTGAGTTGGCATCACAAACCCTTTTGTATGCTATTCTTTTTTCCTTCAAGAAATATTAAAGTCTGAATCAAATTGGAATAGTGGCCTGGTAATGATCTCATTATATATAAATACAGAAGCGCGGGCAGGGGAGATAATGACTCCAAGACGCAGGTATGCAGCGCAGACCTATTATCTTCCCAGGAGCGCCCCCCACTCCACCCTCCTCCAGCTCCCCCACGACATCCCTTTAGTGTAGGGTTCAAGCTGCAGAAAACGGATGGCTGATTGAGGCTGGGAGGCGGGCTTTCTCTCCCCTTTCATGACATATGTGAGGAGATGAAAGGAACCTGGGCTGTGTGTTTACTCTTCCTTCGGGAGTTTCACATGTTCGGATTCCTCGGAAAGACTGAAAGGCAGAAGGAGAGACATTTGGTGCTGGCTGAAAACCATAGCCATTCTCAGTGTGAAGGTTCCTCGTTTGGTGAGGATAATCGTGATGAGGCAGTTCTGGGGATAGATGCTACTAAAAGATTTTAAAAAATAACAGGCCAGCCACCCAGTTTGAGTTCTTATAGAGCAAAAGAACACACCCAGATGGGGGCAGTAGGGTGGGGCCTGGGGTGGGAAAGGCCCTCCGAACGTGGCCTAGTTATGAGCCCCAGGCATCTCCTCTGGCCGCCAACGCATTTGCAACGAGTTTAGCAGCTCACAGAAGGCCACATATTGGCTTAGATTTCCAATATGGGCAGATCAACCCTGGCAAAATATTACTTCCTGTGATTAGCAGAAAAAAAGAAATTGGGTAAGAGAGAGGATAAACCATATTGCTCTCAATGTCCCTGTTAGATTCTAAAGGGGCATTTATTGAAGAGGGGTTGCCATCTGCCACCTTAGACCACAGGGAGGTGGCGTGGAGGGGAAATACTGGGCTGTTTCTTTTGGCATGAGGTTATAAGGTTTATTTTCCCCTTCTGATGCCCATTGTAAACACTATCAAATACAGAAAAACATTGTAGGCATCGTTATTGGACAAAAGGATGGAATGAGTGAGCAACAATATTTTGCCCCTAGTTAAAAGACTTTCAGGTGATGTATATGGTATGCTGTTGAGCAATGATAATAAATTCCTATTGACTGAGAGAGTATGGCCATAAAAATCTAAAGAAGCAAGGGTTAGTCAGACTAGACCAGGGGTGGGCAAACTTTTTGACTCGAGGGCCACAATGGGTTCTTAAACTGGACCGGAGGGCCGGAACAAAAGCATGGATGGAGTGTTTGTGTGAACTAATATAAATTCAAAGTAAACATCATTACATAAAAGGGTACGGTCTTTTTTTTTTTAGTTTTATTCATTTCAAACGGGCCACATCTGGCCCGCGGGCTGTAGTTTGCCCAAGGCTGGACTAGACGGGGGACCTGTGTGGCCTGAGGGGAGCCCCTGCTATCAGGTGGGATCATTCCAATTATGGGGACAAGCAGGACAACTGTCCTTGGCCATAATGGGATCCACACTCTGCACGTGCTGTTCGACACTGTTTTTCCTTAGTTTATTATGTGTTGACATTTGTAATGCTTTCGCCCCAGTGAAAGAATCTTCCTCCTCTCCCTCCAGTGCTGCAGGAACTGCTGGGATTTGGAAGGTTGTTTCCCCTACTTCTGCTCTGACTTCTTTGGGCCATGGCAACTGAGTATGAATTTAATTGTTTGCAGAAATTGACCCTCACAAGTCAGGGAGGTGGATAATATATCACAGATCATGGCTTGATGTCCAGTGGGAGAAGGATTGGTTTGTGGCTACAGGTATTTGGAGGCTGTGGAGGCAGGAGATTTACCTGGTAGACCAGAAGTCTCTGAAGGAATCCCTTATTTCCGCAGCCCTTTTGTATTTATTTAACTAGTTTTAATGGTGACTTCAGGATTCAGCCTGCCTTGTTTGGGAAACCACAGAATTATGAGTCACAATACAAACCACCTCTAATTTAGTAGGTGGATAAGAATAGGACATAAAAACACCACCACATGGAACAAATTTGGGGTTGGCGTCGTGTCTACTATTAGCTAGCCTTTCTGGGCCCAAGCTTCTTTTAAAAAACAAACTAATTGGACTGGATCAGAAGTTTGCAAACATTTTTTATAAAGGGCCAGATGTAAACATTTGAGGCTTTTTGAGCCATAGGGTCTCTGTTGTGACTACTCAATGCTGCTATTGTAACATGAAAGCAGCTGTAGACAACCTGTAACAAATGGGCATGGCTGTGTTCAAATCAACTTTTATTTACAAGAACACTTGTAACTAAAAATCAGGTGGGCCAGATTTAGGCTATTGCTGGAACCCTGGCCTAGCTGATGGCTATAGGCCCTTTCGGGCTAGGAAGTGTTATAGATTCTTTACATTCCACATTGATTTCAGCCTTGGAGTGTGGAGACATTTCTTTGGCTGTTCTCTTCTTGAGGAGGAGTATATAAAGAATGGCAATAGAAGTGTCCTGGAGAGGCACCAGGAGGGATTCCCTGCAATGTTCTGATTGAAATCGCAATGGGAGGAAGCCATTAAGTCAGGTGGGGAGAAAGGTTCCATTAATCAGAGATGGGTACTGCTGTTTTAGCTGGAGATCTGGCTATTAGCTCAGCAGGAAGCCGAGGAAGACGAGATGGGGTAGGCTGCAAACACAGCTTTCCCAAAGGCAGAATGCTGAAAACTTCTCTTTAGAACAAAATTTTTATGTCATTCCTTAGAATCCAAGGCATAGTCAAGAATGACATTTTGCTTGTTTTGGGAAACACAATCTAACATAGCACTCTAACAATCTAACACAGTCTAAGAAGCATAATAGTCAAACACAATTTAAACACAGATTGACTTTTGTCGAAGAAATACATATATATGTACACAC